TTGCCAGTACCTGTGCTTAATCTCTGCATTGAATCTGGGGGATTTTGTCTTTGGGGGAAAAATAGGTAATGGGAGAGAAGAAGGTTAATTGCCACTCGATTCATAGAAATAATTTATACTGTCAGCAAAAGAGAGCTCTCATGCTGCCTACAATAAAATTCTGACATGAAATGTATTGATCAGTCTTTAATGTTATCATTATATGTCCCACAAAATAATAAGGGAAAAGATAAATATATTTTGACTTTTTTTTGTTTTAGATTTTTTATCTAGTTCAGATAAATAATTTTCTTTACAGGTGTCTTCCTGGTGTTTCCTGTAAAATGTGACCAGGAGAAGGAATATACTATGATGATACAATTCACTGCACATTAGAAGTGTAAATACTCAGTACTATTAAGTTCTCTGAGTAAAAGTATGCAGTGCCTTTGGATGGAATAATGTTCTATTTTATTTTACTTATGGCTCCTATCAAATTTAGAGTTTTAGTACTGGATCATCTTTTCACATAACTTGATGGGTTTACTCTGAAAGAAAGGCCCATGACTGCCTGGCTATTGGGCTGTCCAGAAGGCTAGAGGTACATTTTTCCTGCAGCTGTCCTGTTTATGTAGATCTGTATTACCCTGAAGTACTTTACATATGCATTCAAGAGCATATTTAAAATCAGAGTAAATACAAGCCATTTATGGTATAGTATGTATGAACTGTGACTGAACTACCTGTCCAGAGTCCAAAGGATTTTCCCTTTTCTGTGTGCAGTGGTACTCTTTAACATCTGAAGATTATAATTAGTATCAATATAAACGTTTTCAAATAGCTGGTACCTTCTGCATTTACATCACTTTAGTAGCTGAACACGTATGTCTCTTAAATATTTTAAGTATCGTAGGAGCCCAGAGGGTAGGTTGATGCTCCCATCTGTCTTGCAGGATGTAAAGTGACATTCTGAAGGTGATGCAAATATCACAGCAGAGTGTACCCAGAAATGAAGCTCATTGCCATGCATTTCAGTCCATTTCCCCTAGAAAAAGTCTCTCTGTTCTTAATTTGTCTGATACAACTCAATTTAGATTGTGATTACTCAGGCTCGAACCTGGAGTGGCCCATGTATAGAAAGTGTAAAAATAGAGTTGTTGTTCTAAACTAAACAATCCACTTTCACAGAACTCCTAACTGGATGAAGCTGCTACAAACCACTGGCTGTGTCACTCCATCACAGGGTACTGCACACCACCAAGTAGCTCTGCACAGGACCTGGTGACTTGTGCTTCACAAAAAACACTTCTGCCAGAGAGGATCCAGCCTTGATCTGAAGTATTATCAAGAGACTGATAATCTGCTGCTGTCTGTGGCTTGTCTATTTGCATCAAATGTCTGTCTCTGCTGCCTGAGCCCTCACCACCATTCCCAGTACAGGTTGTGGTGTGCAGGCAGACCACCCCTCAGACTTCAGGGCTGACAGTCAAAACAGAGGTGTCAAAATCTGAGCTGTTGTCTCCAGTGTTTTGAACACTGCTTTGGCTCTTTCTTTTGCACCTCCAGGTTTCTACAATGTAATTTTAAAAATCTGGAGACTAGAACTCAGCTTGTGATTCCATTTTTGCTCACACAGTTTTTTTTTTAAAGGATAAGAAATATTGGAGGAGTATATTGTCCCTCCTTGTCATACTTGCTAATTCAGGCTTGCTGCTGAAGCCCCCTTCCAGGTCCAGGCCTGTGGGACTTGAAGTGCAGGCTTTAGTTTCAGAGATATGACTATTATTTGTAATCCAGTCACTTTCAGTTTTACATTTGATGTTTTTATATTTTGCATTTTATTGTGTGTTTTCTTTCTCCTTTCCCCCCTCCATGTCAGCAGTGAGGAAACATGTTCTGGTTTGTTGTTCTTTTCAAATGGACTCAAGCTGCAGTGATTTAGATCTCGTATATTCATGGTGTCCTCATTCATATTTCCACTAGTCTAAGTTACCAGCTTCGAATTCTGAAATGCTTATTTCCAACATTGATGATTTACAGTCTGAAACATCACTTTAAAAAATATGATCTGAAGGAATTTTTCTATTTACAGGTATTTTGAAGACCTGACAGATAGCCTAAACATTAGTCCTCTACTGCATATCATAGTTGAGTGTGTAATTTCAGACACTGAAGACAAAACATGGTGGAGCTGGGTGAGAGGAAAAGGAAGTAATTCTTATGTTCAGGCTATTTACATGCATGGTTTGTTCCATTCTTCTAGTTTCTAAGTATGTACTGAACGTGACATTCATTGTGTCTAAAATAGTAGCAGAAATAGTAGCAGAATAACCTAGTGGTTGCTAAGGTAATGAGAACCCACTGTTCCCTTACCAATTCCTGTAAATAAAGTATGGAATTTAATTTCACTCTGTGTTACCTGAGGCAGCTCTGGCATCTGATAAAACAAATGATCTTTGCATTCTTCTCCACTTCCCTTCTGATTTTCATTGAAATACTGAGCTGTTTCTCTTTTTGTAAATAAATGAGGCTGCCCTGCAGATGGTGGGGTAGAAAGTAGCCTAAGAATTGCATCTTTTGTCTTGCACCTGTTTTCCCCCTGTGACTTAAAATGTATTTGTCTTTGTGCTGAAACACTATTGCATGTGATCAGGGCTGAAGATTTAACAGCCATAAGAGTTCCTCTTTGTTTTCCTCTTGATGCAGAACTTGCATGTTTGTTATCTGTGCCTGTGCTACGGATTGCAAGCACAGCATGAGTGTGAATCCAAGATTTATTTCTTCATCAAAGAAAGGAAGGTTGTGTCAAAAAACAATATGGTAAATCCAGGAATTTGCAAATGCTGGACACCAGTAGATGGTGAGATACTTACCTGGTGAAATGATTCTTGGCAAGGATTATTACTGGCCTTGGGAGTGCAGGCAGCAAACAAGAAATCCAAAGGAGCTCTGACTGCTGTGCAACCAGGCAACACTACACCCCAGACCATCTTGACTTTGTAATGGAAAAAGAGAATCCATATCAAGCTACTTTGCAGCTAATCAATCATCCGAGTCCACCAGGCTGGGCACGGAAGATTGAATCTCTTACATACATGAAGAGGAAGAAGAAACAGCTGGGGCATGGGATGGAGTTATGCTTGGAATAAGAGAATCTGCTGTAAGAGAGAGGCAGCTTGTTATGCTGCATTATGGAATGGCAGAACTCTTCCTGCTCTTTTAAGCCACAAATTTTTGTCTTGCTTGTGTTACACTGATATCAAGTCATGGGTCACTTGCCACAAGTTGCCACAAGTGAGCTATTTTAGCCTAATAGCTGTCTAGATATCAAGACTTTATATTCAATAGTCTGTCTGCCCAGAGGAGTAGAATGGGAGCTGAAGTGGACAGCTGACATAATATATGGTCACTTGAACCCGGAAATGAAAGACAGCTGCTGGATCTAATTTTAAACACAGTTCTTGATCAGATCCCTCTAGATCCTGCTTGTCCTGCTCCAGCAAAGTCATTAGTGGGAGTAGAGAGACAAGAAGTTGAAGATACTGGTAAAGAGCTTTTGTGAGGAAGGGAATCACCTTTGTTCCAGTTATGGTATTTCCATTTTTCACAGTAAGTACTGTCAGCTTCCAGAGAAGGGGAGTGGAAATGGTTTGTGGCTGGTACGAGGTCTAACACCGCTGAAGAGGCTGCTCTTCTGGGGCCTTGTAATGGCCAGTGGGACTCCCCGCTCTGCAAGTACGAGGGCAGGCAGCGCTGTTTCAACCGAGGAAAATGTAACACAGTGGGGCTTTTCCTAACACTTTAAAATAACACGTGGTTACATATCAGCAGGTTGTAATTCCGCGTTTTTACATCAGGGCTCGGGAATGCGGCGGCGTTGGCGGTCTGGAGCTCCATCTAGCGGGCCGTAGCAAATCCCGCTGGCTGCGGTTTGGGTTCTTTAGCAAGCACGAAAATAACCACGAATGATATCGTACTGATAGAATTCTTCACTTGGGATTAGCCAGCTAGACACGTTATTAGTTCAGCAGCTGGTTGAGTGTTTCCAAGTTTCTGTTTTGCTTTCAGAATGCCATTACCAAGCTGGGTTGGTTTTGGGGGTTTTTTCAAGTGTGACGGTATTGTTCAGCTTTATTACAACTATGATGCTAAAATTAAGGGCTATGGAAACATTTCTGGTACTCGTTCTCTTTAGGGAATTAGCTAACCTCTGGGAATTTTGGAAGCAAGCAGAATATTGCTTCTCTGATGAGAAGATTCTCCTCTATTAGATTGCTCTGTTAATCACAATAGGTTTAGGAATAACAGCTTTGCTGTTTATTATGCTTTTAAAAAGTGAAGCACCCAATTTTTTAAAAGATTTTTTTAATATATATAACAATAAATTTGAAGAAATAAGAATAAAGAATAAATTTTGTTTGTTTTATTAAAAAACTTTTAACTGCTACTTGACTTTATATTTAGCAAGCTTGGTTAGGATAGAAACGTTACTAAAATATAATTCTATTATTCTAAAGGCATTCTACTTAAACTGGTGTTAATCTCCATTACAGAAAAGCAATCTAAATAAGTTAATAATCACATTCAAATATAAGTGCAGCATGCATCTATCTATCTCTTTTCCTAAGAAAAGTGATAAACCAGATATTTTTTATAATTTGACATAAAATTTTGATGTGAAGCATTGTAAATATTATGATAAGAGCTGAAAGAGGAAGCTGGAGCTGGAGTTATAGGACAGAGGCCATAAAGGGCCAAATGAGGTCACATTTCATTTAAGTATCCCTCCTAATTTGCTTTCAACAGCATTAGCCCTACTAGTATTAGTTTTGTGTTATATTTAAATTTTCACCTTTCCTGCCTCCTGCACAACCAAATGTTCCTGTTGATTCGATTCAAAGGCTTGAGAGTAACAGCTGCCAGGAAGGGCTTATTTCAAATCTTCTATCCCATGTTTGCCTGTATATTCTACATGTGCATTTTTGTCTGTACCCCCCATCTAAAGCTCTTACTGTCCACAGGCAAGCTCAGAGATACCAAAATTGCGAAAGGAAGACCAGAAAGCACGAAACGCACTCTTGGCTGATATCCAGCAGGGAACTCGCCTAAGGAAAGTGACCCAAATCAACGACCGCAGCGCACCACAGATTGAAAGTGAGCGTGTGCTCCTCAGCAAGGCCCTGGGGGAGCTTGCTGAAGCCTCGGGTGTGGGTGGAGGTCAGATGGACAGTTTCACATTGAAGGGCAGGTTTGAAGGTCAGCAAAAGTCTGCATCATTGTATGGCTTTAGGATGCGGGGAGGGAACACTTTCTAAAAGTGCATCCTGCTCTGAGATCAATGACTGTTAACACTTCACGGTAAGTGTCCAAATAGTTATCACCGTAACAGGCATTCCTTGTTATGTGTGCCCTTGTTCCATTCCTTGTGAGCATTTCAATAAAATAATTAGGTGGGAATTGTTTGTTGTAGCAGAAGAACTGTTCTTTAGTAGATTTAAAGACCAAAAAATTGCTGAAAAATTCTGGAGGCATTAATTCAGTATTAGGCCTAACATAGCTACTTCTTGGTGTCACGATTTGCATGAGGTTGAAGAGCACCAGAGGGTGCTGTGCTCCAAGGTACAGGTCAGAGAGGGATGGCAGTTCCTGTGTAACAGTACAGGGAAACATTTGGTCTTGGCTGTTTGCTGCCACCAAGCCTTAGGAGTCTCATGGCAAAGATGAAATTATTTTCTGATATACCCTGCGTTTTTCATTCTTTTTAACAGAACCCAAAGGAGCTAACAGAGATGGAGGTAACCCAGCTGTTAATAAAGGTGGCTCTCAGCAGCCTCTGGGAGGTTTATTTGCTGGTGGCTTTCCTGTTCTCAGACCAGCAGGCCAGAGGGACATGACAGGTAATGGCTTCATTTGTATGAAAGCAAAGCTGGGTGGGCAGAAATTTGGGATGAAAAGTACTTTGAGATTAGCTTTACTGATTGATTTTTATTGGGTTTTTGTTGGTTATTTTTTTTTTCTGAATGCTTAGTTTATCGTGTGACCATGGAGTGCTCAATAAATAATGTGATTGGAGCCACCTTTCTAGATCTCAGGTGCTTTATTCCTTAAAATGTAAATAAAATGTTATCTCCACACTTGGTAAGAAAGAGATTAAACAGATCTCTTTAGCTGAGGTTTTTACATTATTTTAATGAAAACTTTTAATCGTGTCTTGAATACAATGTTGAAATCTGAGTTTATCAGTTTCAGCACAAATGGCAAAGTCATATTCCTTCCCTCCACTAATGTGTATTTCTATGCTATTACAGTCTTGGGTATTACTTTAAAGATTAATATTTAAGATTTTTGCTCTCTGGATTTTATGAGTATAGCTTTGATCCAGCAAGGTAATTTACTGATCTGAAAAATAAGGGTATTGTTGCTTCACAATGACAGGAGGAAGGCACATGGGGAGCCCCACTGCTGCTTTCACCTCAAGAAGTGCCACTATCAATTAGGGATGACTTTTATAGTCATAGAAATGACCTCTGGCTTTGTTGAGCAGCTGGTGCCTGCTCAGGCAGTATAGAGAAAAGTATGTTTTTGTAAGGAAAGACAGAATTTGGCTCTACCTGAAGGTTTTTTGCTCCCAAAAGGCAAGCCAAAGATGCACAGCACTGTATGTGGTGGGGCTTTTGACATAGCTTCAGTGGCAGTGACTACTTCGAGTTGCTGTTTAAACAATGGTCATGCCTATCAGACTGTGTGAGTGTTGAATGAGATGTCTTTTTTTGACATCTTGCTTTGTGATAAATCCTTGACATTTACTCAGGAAAAGACTTTTTGTAAGTTCAAGAGTCTTCAGGCATTTTCTGTTAAAAAGGAAATACCAGAATCTGTGCCTTCCAAAGAGCCTTGGAGGCATTACTTTTAAAAACTTGGTTTTTATCCATGGAATTGAGGTTTCTGTAACATTTGTGTGATTTTTTTGATCCTAAGCAAGTATTTAGCTTGAAGGATGCCAGTTGATGTGCACCGAACTGCTTGTGTACTTTTCGCCAGGACTCTCGATGCCCAGCAGGCTGTACCAGGCAAAATGAGGCTGGTGTGGAGGGCCCCAAACTCTGCGGAAGAGTTCCTTCTCCTGAAGCGGTTTCTTTCTGCAGAAGCTGAGGAGCAGGGAGGGGAGCAGGGTCTCCCAGCAGGTCGTCACATAACTAAGCAGAGTCCCTGGTGCCCACTGGAATGCATCATCTCCTAAGCCCCATTACAGCGTGGGCAGCTGGGGTGAATGAGTTTGATCCTTCCGGGTATCCACTAGGGAGGGGAAGGTGAAGAGCTTGCCTTTATCGCTGTTCGGTCGGAGGCACGGGAACACAGTCCCGGTGTGTAACTTGCGGTATCTGGTTTCCAACAGGGAGGCCCGCTGGGCAGCTCTCCGGAGGCCGCGCCGCATCCCCCAGAGCCTGCGCCCCGCCCAGCAGCGGCGCCGCCAAGGCGAGCAGCAGCCCCGAGGGCCCGAGGGCAGCTGTGCCCCCGGAGGGTCCCGGCTCCTCCCGAGCAGCAGCGGGAGCGGGCCCCGGCCGGCCCAGCCTGCCCGCGCCGCCTCCCCCGCCCCCCGCTGCCAGCAAGCCTTCCCTCACCTTCCCTCCTCCTCCCGCCGTGCCCCCTCCCAACGACCGCCCTGCCAAGGCGGGGGCCGCCGGCGCCGCTGCCCCGGCCCCGCTCCCTCCCGCTCAGGCCGACAGACCCGCCCAGCCTCAGGCAGGCGCCCCGCCGCCCCCTCCTCCTCCTCCGCTGCCCCCCGTGCCCCCCTGCGGGCACCCGGCCCGGGCGGCCGAGGCCCCCGCGGCCGCCGCTCCGGCCGAAGGAAGGGACTGTCCCCTGCCCCCGCCGCCGCCGCCGCCGCACGCCCAGCCCCCGGCCCCGAGCCGGCTCCCCTTTCCCCCCTCCCCGGCCTCCTGCGGCGCCGACGTGCCCCCTCCGCTGCCCCCCAAGTCTCCGCACTTGCTGTCGCAGTTCCATAAGCCAAGCAACATCCAGTCGCTGCCGCTGCCACCCACCCCCGGCCCCCCTCAGCCCGCAGCCGTGGGGGAGACCAGGAAGAAGAGACCCGGCCGAGGCGCAGGTGAGAGGCACCTCCGAAGGAAGGAGGAGGGTTTTCCCTCCCTTCGGCTAGCGGGGAAAATCATAGCATGATTTGGGTTGGAACAGGACCTTGAAGATGACTTCAAGGCTGCCTTCCAACCCAAAGGGTTTTATTGCACTGGTGGCTGGAGAGCGTGGAGGGGCAGGGATGAAAGCACACATGGGAAGAATACCCATAGGTTGCCCGGCTCACGATGATCTCCCAAAACATCCGGCTTTTTGAGATGCCAGGCAATTCTTTGCACTGGGCACGCACGCCTTATCGTTTAAGCTGCCACTCTTGGAAGCGACGTGCTGATCAGTGAAGACAAAGTCTTAGGACCACTGGGCTGCTTCTTGCTTTTGTGTTGGCATCGGTGTGTCTCCAGCAGTGCAGTGGGTGGTACTGACAGGCTCAGGTGGGGGAGCAGACTGCACACCACGGTGTCTGCCAGGTCAGCAGCTGCTCATGTGCCAGCCTGCCTGGGACACCCCTCTACAGCTGTGCCTATGCAGCAGCAATATGGGCAACAGCTGGGAAGTGCTAGAGAACATAATGAAACAGAGATGGGGCAGCTACCAGCTATAGGTGAGCAGCAGCAAATCTGGCTGCAGCCCTCTGCTGTTCAACAAAGAGGAGCAGCCAGTGCCTCCTGTGATCAAGGTGGTTGGGCCAAAGATTTCTCCAACTACTTGGGAAGTGCAGTATTATCCAGTATTTCCTTGAGTAGATGATAAAAGGAAATTTTGTTAGACTCCTCTAATGTAATGAAGATAATAAAAAAGATGAGCCTAGATTTGTGTGGGTTTGAGAAATGGAGACAGCTACTTAACAGGGAACATCTGCAAATGTTCTGTACCCTGTATTTTAGCAGCCACATGTCAGGAGAAAGATTTCCCCTTTGAGAGCCAGGGGAAAGGCTGTGTAAGTACAGCAGATCAGGTGCATTGTGGTGATTAATGCTGCTCAGAACTCTCATATTAACTGTTACTATGTCTAGATGCCCATTTCTCATGGTAGTTCAATTTGTGTGTTTTCCATAAAATTGCCCTGCCTGTCCCTTGTTATGCAGGAGGGTAAGGAGTTTTGAGAGGCTGCTAACATGGAGGCCTTGGGCTCCCTCCCCCTCACACAACTCCTGTGGTAGGTCTTCCAGATGTAAACTTTGATGGCCCTTGCAATTCCTCAGTTAAATGCACAAGACTAATGGTAATTCCATTGCATAGCTGCCAAAGTGTCAGGAAAATTTATTTTATGCATACCACCTAGTATGGCTGTTTTGCTGATTTCCTTTGCTTAAAGAGCGAAGGAAAGTTTTGTTGATTTCCTTTGCTTGTTCTTGTGAAAGTGGAAGGATAATCTTCCCTTCCAGACTGGGACAAAACCACATTTCAGAATGTCACACTTTCCTTGAACTGGAAATTGAAAGCCCCAGCCAATTCCAGTAGTGATTTAATTTAATACTTAATGCTACAAATCTGTGGTCAGGCTTGGCAAACAACAACTATGGGTATGTTTTCTCCAAATACTGCATTCTTTCTACACCCCCTCCACTTTTTTGTAGTTTGCTGTTGGTTTAAGTCATGATGATGTTTATATGTTGGTCTCCTGGGGCTTTTTTAAGGAACTGGTGCTGGGAAGCTGGTCACACCTCCACAGCCACCTGCAAGATCCCCAACAACTGAACTTACAAGCAAGTCTGGAGTCTCAGCCTGGGCTACAGCTCATGACCCCTACACACCACTTAAAAATGGAAATATGCACATCATTGGTAATATCATTAAATTAAATATCTTGGCCTTAGTAAATAATTTTGGTACAGAAGCCTGTGTGCGTCACAGACCTCAAAAACTCACTCAAGACTTTGTCCTTGCAATAGCAGGGTAGTATAACAGAAACATTTTTATATAACCTTACACAATAATAGAAAATTAGGGCTTTTTCAAAAAGGATTTGAATTCAGTCAGTAGAAAAGCACACACTACCTCCAAAGTTACTTAAAAATATGAAGAGTTCCCATAGTCTGCTTATATTACTAATCTTCAAACCAGATCATGGACATTGAGAGGTTTCACTCCTATAGGGCAAAGACCACTAAGAATTACTTTAGTGGTCTGATGAATTGGCCATTCATTCTTGTTTATAGGTACATGTCTCGGAAACTACCAATGAATACCTCTATTACCACAATACTATCAACGCAGAAAACTGGAACAGCAGCCAGAAGCTTAACTTCAGTTTTAATAGCAGGCAATGTCTGCAATTAAGAGAAAAAACTTGGGTGGCTCACAGAAGTAAATGGTTTATACAGAAAGAGCCACTACCAGTTCCAGGAGAAAAGCCAACATTATAAATTGAAATTACTTGTGGCAACATTGTTGGGTTTTGGGATTTTGTTGGTTTGGTTTGGTTTGGTTTGGTTTGGTTTGGTTTGTTTGTTGTTGTTGTTTTAAGTATCTCTCTAGCAGCAGCTAATGTTTATTTCCCTGAAACTTCACAGATGACTTTGAATCTAAATTTACTTTCCATTCTGTGGAAGATTTCCCTCCACCTGATGAATTCAAACCATTTCAGAAAACATATCCCAGCAAGATACCCAGAGGTAAGTGTGTAAACATGGAAAGATCTGATCATTATCAAGAGGTTTAAAAATGGGGATGCAAAATAAAGAACTGAACCATCATTAGCATAACTGGACTGCTAGCACCACACAGAGAGGAATGGGATTTGTCACAGTGGCAACAGGAACCAGAGATATAATGAAAACCACTTAGTTACTTTAGAGTCTTAGCTAAAAACAAATTATGTGGCTGGACATGCAGCTTGTGTTTTTAGATTGCTAAATTTACAAGGCCTGTGATGTTAATGACACTCATATTGTAAAAACAGACTTGGGAAGCTACTGAGTTTGATTTTTTTGTTTACTAACTTGTGAAATCACAGAGAAAGATTACTTGATCCATGTCTTCTATTATGTATTTTGATTTAAATCCTATGCATGGTGTTTTACACACCTGAGTAACAAAGAGCCTGAACTTTGTCAGGAAGTGATGAATGGCTGAACCTTGCTTTATTTTTTTTGCTTCTTTCTTAACTTAGTGCTTCGAATCAGGTCACGGATGTAAGAGCAGTTCACCTATTCAGTTTTGAAAATGGGTAGTTGAAAGTACCAAAATATCTCATTCCCATATTCTGCTTTTTTATAAAACCTAGTTTTCTGTATTATTAGATCTCCAACCTTTAATTAACCTTTTGTTTTCTCCATGCTAAGGTACTTAGCATGAATTTTCATAGTAGCCTCATTCAGGCTAAATAGTCTGCTGTATATTCTGATTTTTACTGAAGGGCTGCAGAGCACAAGCAATATGTGTGTGTATGTATGTAAACATATGTATGTATGTATCAGGGGTAGCAGATATATGCAATGTCCCTGCCATATAACTGCATCAAAAATACCTATTTAAAATCTGTCCTGTCTATTTACAGATCCCTCTAAAAATCCTCCATTAAGAACACACGTGAGATGAGAAGAGTCTTCTAATGTTCTCTGGACTAGTGTTAAGAAAGAAGATCAAGATAATATATAAGACAGCCCCTGTTGCAGTGATAGATTGTACTTGAGTCACAAGTACTGCAATATTAACATTTCTATAAACTGTAAACCAGTATAAGTTATACCTTTTTAACTGGCCTACATACTATAGGAATGTTAGTACAGGCTTTTAAATTACTGTATATAGGTGAATATTTTTTAAGCAAAGCAGCATAAAGTTTAAAATCTTTGTAGTGCTGAAACAATTCTCATTCTTATTGTGCTGACAGTGTTGCCTCAGAATGTTTTGTGCTACGTGCCTGTAGTTCTTTTTTCCCCTTCCATCATAATTTCTGAAAATTCTCCAGTTCTTATTTAGATATTTTTTCAATGAACTGTCAAACTATTATGTTATCTTTAGTCTATTTTTATGTTTCCTCACTTCTATTCTGCCTGGCCTCAGATTGCAGCAGGATGTCACTTTCATGAAGAGATGTGCCCACGATCCTTTTCTCATGAAGCATGAAGAGGAGATGCCAAGGAGCTGTGGCTGCTAATGAGCATACCTCCTAATGATTACATATCCTTATAGGATAGTGTCTGAAGAAGCCCAGCTGGGTAGGGGGGTCATGGACTTGACAAAGATGACAGAACCTTTCCAAAGCAGAGGTCCTCTGTTGTAAGCAAGAAAAAGAAATGGTGTGTGTGAATACATGTGCTGTGATGAGCATACGTAAGGACACATCCTGTCTTTTCCTGCTGGCACAGTGGGTATTTATCATTTCTGCAATAGACTGCCTTTACCCAGCAATTACAAAGCCTTTGGATGAGGGGTCCAAAACCTACATTTTAGAGCTACTGCTGTTCGCTAGCAGTGATGGTTCATTGTCCAAAACACACTGCGTGGAACACTCAGCCCCCAAAGTGGTTGTTGTCTCAAACAGAGTTGGTTAGGAAAAGTAACAACCTATCAGCAGACTACGTTGAACTACTGCTTTTAATATTCAGACCTTGGGTGAGGTTTTTGGATCACAGGTGTTTAGATCTGGTCCTAAGATGTCTATTTCTAGCATTTATTACCGTTATTCTTGTGCATTGGGAGGACACCAGGGAAGTGTCAGGGAAATGATCTTCCACTCTGCTCAGCACTAGTGAGGCCACATCTGGTGTGTGGCCACATGTGCTGTGTCCAGATTCTGGGCTCCCCAGTGCAAAGAGGACATGGCCATGCTGAAGAGAGTCCTACAAAAGGCCACAAAGGTGATGAAGGGACTGGAGCATCTCTCCTATGAGGAAATGCTGAGAGAGCTGGGACTGATTAGCCTAGAAAAGAGAAGGCGCAGAGGGGATCTCTCCAATATATATAAATATTTGAAGGGAGGGTATAAAGATGGAACCAGACTCTTTTCAATGATACTCAGTGACAGAACCAGAGCAAACAGGCAACTGCAACACAAGCAGAGCTACCAGAACATCAGGAAACACTTTTTGACTGTGTAGGTGACTGTGCCTTGGAACACGTTGCCCACAGACCTTGTAGAATCTCATTCCTTAAAGATTCTCAAAAACCATCTTTGGACTTTATCCTCGGCAACTGGCACTAGGTGACCCTGCTTGGCCAGGGGTGTTGGATCAGATGACCTGTAGCCATCCCTTTAAATCCCAACCACCCTTTGATTCCTCTTTTTACAGCTTTTCTGGGTTCCTAGACCTGGGTTACAACAACTCAAGGCACTGCTATGGGCAGAATGGCTGGAAATCTGCCTGACACTAAAGGACCTGGGTGTGCTGGCTGACAGTGGCTAAACATGCTGAACAGGGGCCAGTGTGTGCTCAGGTGGTCAAGAAGGCCAACAACATCCTGGCTTGAGGTTCAGAAGGGACCTTATTGCTCTCTGTAACCTGAAAGGATACTGTACCAATGTGGAGGTCAGTCATTTCTCTCAAGTAACAAGGCACCAGACAAGAAGACATGCCCTCAAGCTGTGCCAGGGGAGTTTTAGATTTGATATTAGGAAAAACATCTTCTCCAAAAAGGTTGTCAGGCATTGGAACAGGCTCCTCAGGGAAGTGGTGAAGTCACCATTTAATACCTACAGGTATTTAAAAGACTTGTAGATATGGCACTCAGGTGATCCCTCAGGTTTTAGCTTTTACATTTTTCAGATTCTGTACTGCTTTAGCATGTAGTTCTGAGCTTCATATTAGGGGATAGCTCTCATCATAGAGTAGGTAGACAAAGGACCCTTGGTCCTGAGGACCAAGGACAACTGATCCAAATTCCAGGCCCAAGAGCGTAAACAATGGTGGAATGAAGAGAGAAAAACAAGGATGGGACTTCATAATCTAAAGCTATAATTGGATGATTAACTCCAACATGCTAATGGATCAGAACTTACAAAAGTGAGAGACCTCATGACTAGTTGTTCATTTTGTGACCCTTTTGGGTTCATCTTGGGTGTAACCCTGGCTGGGCTCTTATACTGCCCAAGGTGTGTCCATTGAGGCCTTCTAATAATAATTGCTTTATTCTTTAACTCCCTCTAGTCTCTGTTCTAGGTCAGTCTTCACAAGGCATCACAGGGACATGGTTTAGTGGTGGACTTGGCAGTGCTGGGTTAACAGTTGGATTAGATGATCTCAAGAGTTGTTTTCCAATATAAATGTTTCCATGATTTACCAGTCTGAAAAAGAATACTGCTGTTCCAGGGTAAGTCTGGTGCTAACAGCCAGGCTATTACAGTTATGGCATCAATTTTTATAATTGCCATCAATTCCCCTCAGTTAGAGGTGTAATAATGTTATAGATCACTGATGATCTTTCCCCATGATGTTGCCTTTGAACAAAACTTTTTAGAAAAGACAGATAACTGCATCTTTACATCCCTATTTTCTCTTTGTTGTTACAGCAGCTCAGTTATACTGTAACTATTCCAACACACATGCACATTCATGGTGTGAGATGGTGTAGGGGTAGGAAGCACTTCACCCACAAGACTCCAAGAAAGCAACATTAGTCTTTTTCTAATTTATCATAATAACTTGCTGTACTTCATGCGAAAAGAAAAAAAGTGGTGATGCTTTGACCAATAGTGTCACTTACTGTAGTTGCTTGATAAATATGCATGAATGTAGTAACAAGCAGGGATCTTCATCTACATTGCTTCTCAAACAACTGGAAAAGTTGAATACTGTTTTTAAAACTATTTTGTTATAGTACTATTAAAAGTGGCATATTGTTGGCTCTCATTTATTCTGAAATGTGTGTACTACTCTGTAGTAAGTACCTTCCTAAGGATTTAAAAACTAATTCTAGACTACCTGCCAGCAGTTATATAAAGGAGAAGAAAATTTTACTCCATTTTTTATTACAGTTTGTGTATTTCAGAAATAAACAACATCTTTCAGGGATGAAATGAGAAATCCTGTGCCTATTTGTTAGCATTTCTGAAATGTTTCCATATATTTGTCATTCAAAATCCATTGAACCATCTGGAGATACAAAGGATCACACTGTCACCCTGAGGCAGCTGATCCCGTAAGTCCCACTGTGTCCTTCCACTGAGACCCATCTCTGTTGAAGACCACTGCAAATATTAAGACCATGCAGTTGTTCTGGTTTCTACTGACTGCACCCAATCATGCTGCTGTACCACAGCTGGTTTTGGTTTTTAAATGTACTATACAACTGAAGCAAAATCAACATACTATTAGAAAATTACTACCTGGATCACTGTGCTCAAAACAATTTATTCATTCTGTCATATAAGCAGTTCCAAATAAGGACATAAACGCCCATGAGATAATTGCAAGTGTTGCTTTCTTCTTTCTTAAGAAACAGGCAAATAAGATATATAATGTTTTTAACAGGAACACTCACTTCTTTAATCTTGCCTCCCTCCCAGCTCTCAAAGATTAGAGATCCAAGACATGCAAAATAGCTGTGAGAAGTGGTACATCCTAATTTTTGTCCTCTTGCTGGAGCAATCATTTTATTCCTGTTCCCTGGTTGTGCAGAAATACGCAGCTACTCCTATCAGGAGATGTGATTTCATGGGAAATCCATTTACTTCAGTTATGGGCAGCTGGAAAAAGCACACTTCTCTTTCAGAGCGCTTCATCCCTGCAACATTCTCTGAAATTCAAGTGTGTTTCTTGCAGTCAGCCCCTCCTCTGGTTACCATATAGAGCAGCTGAATTTCAGGGTCTACTTGAATATTTCCTTCTCCTGTTGTCTACACTTTAAAATACTTAAGATTCAGGAATGTGATAGACATGCTGTGATAGACAGCATGGGAGGATTTTATTGTGAATGGGAGGTTATTAGATAGGCCGTAAGAGAAAATATATTCTTCTTTGTTTTCTGTAAGTAAAAAGGCCCCATGTTTTCTTGTCCAATTGCCATTTGTTATATAAGGCAATATTAAAGTAATGAATCTGAATGGAACAATTTCATTTAAAAAATCCTGAGAATGCAGTGTGCCAATATGGCAATGACTATTTCCCTGATGCACAACTCTTACAGTTTCAACTTGAGGTGTTTCTGCTTTCTAAGGAGCTTTTACTTCCTCAATACAGAAGCCTGTGGTTCTTCACCATCCACTTTCTCAAACAGTGAAGGATTTTAACTCTGTATGTTAACTTCCACTTACTAAAGACATGGATGTCCTCTTTCAACCTCCTGTAGGAAAAAAACCCACCAAGCATCTTCACTGGACACAGTGTTTACTGGTTTAATTCTCAGTGTTTGCTCTATGTCACTTCCACAAGAAGAAAATACAATGAAAAGCAGGTCTGCCTGTAGGACCGTGGAGGAAGGGAAGCATGCTGCAGCACTGCACCTAATGTAAGGAAGCATAGGACAGCCTTTCTAAGCCAAACCACTTGGATTGCCACACCCACCAGCAACTCACTGGCACTTAATGGATTCATCAGCCATGTGTCTCACAGCAGAGATTACTAGGAACTGTGCAGCAGTACAAAGGCAGAAAGATGGAGAACAGCCAGGTATTTATCAATGTCCGGCATCTATTCCTTTAAAAAATTCCAAATCTGTAGCTTGCATATAAATCTGACATCTTATTAATTGCATCTTAAGAGCCAATATGTGTACATCTCTATGGCATCCAGGCTGGCTCTGCACTTCAATACTCAGTTCTGGAGCAACAGCCAGGTGCACTACAAACACAAGCTGGCTGAGGGCAAAGGCAGAACTTAACTTGGGGACTGAATTCTGATAATTTGTACAGGCATAATGTCAGGTGCTGGGTTACTGCAACCAGATACAGTCATATGAGGCCAGCACAACAAGGTCAAGAGCCAGGACTTACCTTCCTGCCCGTCTCAAACTGTGATTTCAACTCTGTATGAATTAGGAAGAAGAGAAAAATGCAAGTCAGCTTTGCTGCAAGCCTAGTCCTGAGCAACAGAGGGAAAACCAGATTGCTTTCAATTACAATATGGCAATTAGCCTGATGAAGTTAAATCTTTACTTTAATTGGTTGCCCAACATACATGTTTTTAACATTCTGTACTAAATTAGCCAGCATGCACACAGTAATTGGACCAGTCAGTGACTTTCTCCTTTCACTATATACATACACAAACAGGAACACCACAAGATTGGACAAAGGAAAGCAATTTGTTAACTGGATACAGCTAGCAAGTAACATTTTTTCCTCTAGAAATGCTTTTTCCTGCAAAATCACAAGTGTGAAGAACTTTCTTTCAAGGCTTGAAGAACATTGCAGTCTTCCAGTGAAAAGGCTAACAATAGCCACTGTAGCTGAAATGAGATAAAATTTGTTGAAAATCAATTCCAAGCAAGAGTAAAATTGAAAAAAAATCGCCTGCAATGCAGCATAGGGAAAAGGGACTTTGGAGACAAGCTGAGCAGGTGGAAAGATGGGTTTGAACCCAATTCTTAACATCCTCAGCTTAGTGTAAAAGAGGAGGAGGTTCAGAATCGGATCCAACATTTCACATTCGCTGGTAGAGTAGTACCTAAAGAATTGTTTGCTTACTTTATTTGAAGAACTTTAGTTCTGTGTCAACACAGTCATAGAAAAGATCCACTACTTCAGCTGGATCCAGAATCTCTGTACGAGAAAGGATATCTTCCATTGCTTCTAAACCTTGTTTTTCAAGGTCTAACATAATCCTCATCAGTTTCTGGCCTTTATCCTAAAGGCATGAAATAACCAAACTCAGTTAAGCAGCAAACAGGCTCATTAAAGCATTTTACTCTCTCTCTTTGTTATAGAGATATTTTCAAATATTTTTAAAAATTAAAAAGACTTTTTAAGTACAAACTATTTCTGTTATTAGTTTTTTTGGATGGCCAAAGACTAAAAGGCACAGTCCTGGACATTTTTTGCATTAAGAAAAATAACCAAACTGGAGTTGCTAAGTTTAAAGCAAAGGAAGAGAGTCAAAGATGGATAGAGGAAAATTATATAAGGTTTGTACATATAATAGAGGTAAAGCAAGTTCTTAAGCTTGTAATCCCACTAACAGAATATCAAGACCTGCAAGATGATGATAGATCTAAAATGATATGTCATGTAACAGTATTTAGACTCCATATCCCAAGGAGGTTTTTTGTGCCATTATGACTTACTACTCTTTATGTTTCTAGAAAATTTACTCCTGGAAAAGGTGTAATTTCATTTTATCCAAATGTTATTTCAACACTACCTTTTTTTTTTTTTTTTTTTTTTTTTTTTTTT